GGATGTAAAACTGTTGAATAACCCAATCTCCATTAATGAAATTGAAAATGTAATTAAGTCCTTACCCACAAAGAAGAGCCCTGGCCCAGATGGATTCACTGCAGAATTCTACAAGAAATACAAAGAAGACCTAATGCTGACACTCCTCAAACTATTCAATGAAATTGTTTGGGAAGCAATCCTTCCTAAGTCATTCCTCTTAGCAAATATTACTCTAGTACCAAAAACTGAGAAAGACCCAACTAAAAAAGAGAACTATAAACCGATCTCCCTAATGAACACAGATGCAAAAATCCTCAATAAAATATTGGTAAATAGGATGCAGCAAATCATCAAGAAGATTATACACCATGACCAAGTGGGATTCATCCCAGGAATGCAAGGATGGGTCAACATACGCAAATCAATAAATGTAATCCACCATATCAATAAAGCCAAAAGTAAGAATCACATGATCATTTCTATAGATGCAGAAAAAGCCTTTGAAAAAGTCCAACATTCATTCATGATAAGAACTTTAAAGAAAATTGGAATAGATGGTCTTTACTTCAATATAATGAAGGCCATTTATGACAAACCAACAGCCAGCATCATACTAAATGGCCAAAAATTGAAAGCCTTCATTTAAAATCAGGCACAAGACAAGGATGTCCTTTATCACCACTCCTATTTAATATAGTACTGGAAGTACTAGCCAGAGCAATTAGGCAAGAGAGAGAAATAAAAGGGGTAAAGATAGGAAAAGAACAAGTTAAGTCATCATTGTTTGCAGATGACATGATACTCTACATAGAAGACCCCTAAACTCCATTGAAAGACTCTTAGATACAATAAATATAATCAGTAATGTAGCTGGATACAAAATCAATACTCAGAAATCAATAGCATTCCTATACACGATCAACAAAATCACAAAGAGGGAAATGAGAGAAACCACACTCTTCATATTAGCAAGCAAAAAAATGAAATATTTAGGAATTACTCTTAGGAAAGAAGTGGAAGACCTATACAAGGAAAATTATAATACACTGAAAAAAGAAATTGAAGATGATCTCAGAAAATGGAAAGACATCCCTTGCTCATGGATAGGAAGAACAAACATTGTGAAAATGGTCATTCTCCCAAAACTGTTATACAGATTCAATGTAATCCCAACAAAAATACCATCAACATACCATATATATCCAGAAAAATCACTCCTAAAATTCCTCTGGAACCAGAAGAGACCTAGAATAGCAAAGGCAATTCTAAGCAGCAAAGGCAAGGTAAGAGGCATCACAATCCCTGACTTGAAGTTATACTACAAAGCAACAGTAGTAAAAGCAACATGGTATTGGAATCAAAACAGAGGCGAAGATCAATGGAATAGATTAGAAGATACAACCACAACTACAAACACACTCAACCACCTTATCTTTGATAAAGGAACCAAGCAGGTTCACTGGAAGAACGACAGTCTCTTTAATAAATGGTGCTGGAAAAACTGGCTCTCCATTTGCCGAAAACTAAAGCTAGACCCATATCTATCACCATGTACTAAATTAAGATCTAAATGGGTCAAAGATCTGAATATTAAAAGAGAAACACTAAATCTATTGGAAGACAAATTGGGTAGAAACCTTGAAGACATAGGAGTAGGGAGAGAATTCATGAACAGGATCCAAACCGCACAGGAAATACTTCCCAGAATCAATAACTGGGACCACTTCTTATTAAAAAGTTTCTGCATGTCAAAAGAAATTTCCAGCATAGTGAAAAGAAAACCGACAAACTGGGAAAAGATTTTAGTGAACTCTCTCTCAGACAAGTGACTCTTGTCTAAAACATACAAAGAATTAAAAAAAAAACTCAGACCCCCAAAATTCAAAGATCCAATCCAAAAATGGGCATCTGAGATGAATACGCACTTCTCAGATGAAGAAATACAAATGGCAAATAAATACATGAAAAAATGTTCATCATCATTGGTCATTAGAGAAATGCAAATTAAAACCACACTGAGATACCATCTCACTCCTGAAAGAATGGCCAGGATCAAGAAAACCAACAACAACAAATGCTGGAGAGGCTGTGGGGGAAAAGGAACTCTCCTACACTGTTGGTGGGTGTGTAGACTGGTACAACCTTTGTGGAGGTCAGTCTGGAGATTTCTCAAAAAGCTGGGATTGGAAGTCCCATTTATTCCAGTTATTCCCTTTTAGGCACATTCCCAGAAGAACTGAAAACATCATACCACAGTGATATATGTGCACCTATGTTTATAGCAGCACGATTTGTAATTGCCAGATCTTGGAAACAACCCAAGTGTCCATCAACTGAGGAATGGATAAAAAAAGTTGTGGTATTTCTATACAATGGAGTATTACTCAGCTATAAAGAAGGATCACATTAAGATATTTATCAATAAATGGTCGCAGCTTGAGACCATACTCATAAGTGAAATAAATCAATCTCGCATGTGTGAATACCGAATAGTTTCCCTAATGTAAGTAATGATTCAGATATATAAAAATATGTGGTTATCATGATTCCCCATTATGTGGCCTTGAAGCCTTATAAAGTTTTCACTTATTAATTAGAAAGGCTTTATTCTGGGCTTCTTGATATGGAAATATTTGAAGCTATAGTATATAAAGTTTTATTCAAATATTTCAAGGAAAAAGACAGACACTATGGTAACTACTATTAAGTTGGGTTATTTGGTGATGAAGCACTAGGTTGCTGGAACAGTCATAATTTGACCTCTATTGTTATATTGTTATCCCCTGTTTTATCTCAATCTCTCCCTTATTCTTTAAAAAAATTATTTAGTTATTTTTTATGGCTTTTTTTAATTAAGGGGAAAAATTTTAAAAATTAGCAGGATATATAATAGTAACTTTTTTGATTTCCTATTAACTTGTTTTGAAGTCCTGTAATACTCCCACAATCTTGTTTTGACTGATGAGACTCTCTTCTATTCTGTATGATAGTACCAAGTTTGAGGGTATAGGCAACTACTTTGAAGGCAATAAGATTCACTAAGATGCCCATTCTGGTTTGACTATTGTCTCCTTTGGAAGTCCTGTAATGTTTACAATGCTTAAGTTTTATTGGTCTTGTTCTCTACTGTTTTGTTCAACTTTATAATGTCTAATGAGATAGACAATTCTTTTTAAGGAAACAAGAGACATCGTTGATAACCATTGTTGAAAACGTTGTACTCTGTTTTACACCATGTGCTATGTCTATTCTTGGTTTTGACTGACAGCTTTGTTTTGCCATATTTGACTTTATTCTCTCCCCCCCAAAAAAGTAATAAGGACTAAGGAGTAATAAAGCCCAAAATGTGTAAATTTTGTTGTAAAAAAGAGAGGGGAAAAAAGTGCTGTAAAGGATACAACAGCAAGTGTGTTTAGGGGTGTTAAATAGTTGACCATATTAATGTTTTTGGTTGGATCATTGAACACAACTGTTTGCAGTCTCACTGTTTGAATGTCTACTTTGTATTCTTTGATACTCTGACTTGAGCCACTATCTCTAAGATGATAATATGTAATCTATTAACTGGTGATTTCTTACTGTTTTTTTTTTTTTTTTTTTTTTTTGTAGTTCTGTATTACTTGTACCCTTACACCACTTTGTTTTGTTTTGTTTTTTCTCTTTTTCCTTTTAAATAAAATTTTTTATAAAAAAGACAGTAGGATTCACTATGATACCCATTCTGGTTTGGCTATTACCTTCTTTTGAAGTCCTAAATGTCTCCAATGTTTTGTTTTTATTGATTTTGTTCTGTACTGCTATATTCAATTTTATTGTGCCTGATGATATGGGCAATTCTATTGAAGATAACAAGAGGCATCATGGTAACCACTTTAGATCACCTTGTATTTTGGTTGTAAATCGTACTATGTTCATTCTTTTGTTTTGACTGGCCCCATTTTTTTTCTCTCATTTGCTTTTATTCTCCTCAAAATAAAAATAAATTTTAAAAAGAAACCTTGTCTACATTATGCCTGTGTCCCAAGTCTTTTCTGAGATTACTGTCTTACTTCCTTTCTTCTTGTTGCTGAGACAATTTGCCCAAAACCCAAAGAAGAAGCAGTTTATTTGGCTTCCTGTATTTAGAGGCTTCAGTTCCTAGTTGGCTGGTTTGAAGGCAGGTGAGATGGCAGAGAAGAACTGCAGAGGACAAGCAGTTCGTGGCAGGCAGAAGGCAGCGAGGCAGCAAATAGCAAATTACAAGCAGAGAGCAAGAAGCAGCCACCCTCATTATGTTCCTTTCAGCTTATCCAGGCTTCCCAGCCCGAGAGTGGGTAACACTCACACCCACAGTAGGCAACCTTAATCCCAGCATGGCACTGTGAATCTGTCCCAGAATCACATCCCTGATCCCTGACGCACACACCCCAGGTCCAGCCACCCCGGGAAGACCCCACTTGTGATCACATGAGAGTTTACATCCAAATACAATCCATACTGTGGACTGAAACATCTGGTGGGGAAATCTCAACACGGCCTGAAATTCAGGCTGTGGCATGGGCACTCTGGCGGTTTTAAATTCTTATCATCTTATCATGTTAAATTCTTATCATCTTGTTTTGAAAACCTATATCACTATTGATTTTTGTTATTTTTTTCATTTTGCTTTTGTTGTTTTTTTGTTTTGTTTTGTTTTGTTTTTTGTTTTGACTGTTTGCTTCTTGGTTTTTCTGGGGTTTTTTTCTTTAAAAAAAAAAAAAACAGGCAGGAATCAATGCACAACTTATCGTCAAAAAAAGAGGCTCCTGCTAGCTTCTGCCACTCCCTGGAAGTAATATCCTCTTTTTGCATATGTGTAAGAAAAGTAATTAGAGATTAAATCTTGCACATCAGATTTCATTTGTATCTCTTCCTCTGCCTTGTTTTTATTGAAGACTATATAAAGTAAATAGAAGATTAAAGCATGTCTTATGTAACCTGACCTTTGTTCCTGTTTCCAAGCTGTTTATTTTATGCATCATTCATTTGTAAAGCAGTCACAGCACCTACTGGGACAAAGGGTAGTGTGTTGTTTGGGAAAGAGAAGTTCAGAAAAAACACATCAACCTTCTGATTCTGCAGAGCCAATTCTTTCAATGTGAGACTGTGAGAGGAAGGAAAAAGCTGAAACCTTGAAAATTTTGCCATCTGGGTGCAAAGTCCATACTGAAGCTTCAGCTCAGCAGTCTCTACACAGAGACACACCAAACTCTCACTCTTCAGTATCCTACTGACCTGGCTGTATCAGAGGGACTTTCATCTCCCAGAAGTCAAGCCTAGGAGCATCTGTGAAACTAGGTGTGGACACAGCATTTCAGGTGAGCACTCATCCCAAAGCAGGAACCAACTGTTCCTGCTATAGTTAGTAAAATACAGGATTTATGCTAAACAAGTAGATTTTACTTGCTTTGGGTATACACAAAGAGGAATGGCATGCTGGGGTATGTTAACATGCTTAAAATTATAACTTTTTCACTATCTATATGTTTTCCATAAGATCATGTGCTATATCCTAAATATATGTATCACAGATATATCTGTCTGTACAGAGTTTTCTGTGTAGTTTAGGCCAACCTAGACTTACTTTGTACCCCAGATTGGCCTCAAACTCATGGCAATCTTCCTACTCCAGCCTATTGAGTGCTGGTTTATGGGCATGCACCCACCACCATGCCCAGTGATAATGTTTATTTTAGAAAAGATTTAAGTCCTGCTTTTTGGCATGCCATTCATCTTAAGAAAGTCAAATCACCGTGCTTGTTGCTGCAGATACAGCTCTGTGACACACTGCCTGCCTGGCAAGTGCAAGGTCCTGATTGTCAGCACATAAGATGAAACAAAACAAAAATACACAATGCTTATACTGTGTTATATGCAGAACATGCAGATAAATATGCTGTTGGAAAAGGATTAACTTCAGTTTAAGAAACAAGGAGGGACATGATTGAAACCCAACAGAGGCAGGTAGGGAAATATCACAGCAAAGCTCATTAATATGTTCAATTAATAGGAATCAATGTGCAATTGTTCAAAGGGAAAGGGGAGTTAGGAGGATGAAAGGAAAAGATGAGAAAACATGAGAAAATGGAAACAAAATCTTGTAAATGAGGAAAAGGGAGGTTGAAGAGAAGGGGATGGGGGAAAAAAAGAAACTAAGATATATCATGTACAAGTACAAATTCCCTGTGATGAGTGTGATCATTATACCTATCTATTGTATCAAGAAACAATTTAAAGAAGAAAAATGGGTTAATAGTTATATGAAGTGCATTTTCTAATTAAAAAACATAAAATATGTATCTGACATCTAATTTGTCCAGGGAAGCTAGTGAAGTGCAAAGAAACACTCTGTGAAGCATCTTTTGTCAACTAGGGAAAGAGTAAGGAGAGATTTGGGTTCTTTTCCAGAGGCACACGGGGGGAGTGGAGAGCACTGCAAACCGGACAGCCTCTTACCCTTCCGGTTACCTTGCTGGCAGGCAGTCCTTTCCTTGATTGGAAAGATGATTCTCCTTAAAGTCAGGAAAGCATTAACAATGATACAGACCAGACTGTTTAATAAAATCATACAGCAAACAAGTGTTACTTGAAATATTTCACCTGTAATGCTACTAACACAGGCTATTTGCCTATGTTGTTTCAGATTTGTGCTTAAACTCTGTAGGTACATGTGAGCTCTTTCCTGTCTTGCATTTTCTAATTTTATTTTAACATCCTCTTGTACAGCTCCATGTATGATGTGTTATACCAGTGTGTATTCTGTCAAAGCCTTAGAGTGGCATTGCCCTGCTAGATTTTATTACTGTTTCCTACTTCTGGCATTAGAATTTTGCTTAGCACGTGTTATGTTAGTGTCCCTTTATAAACTTTATTTTTCTCTGTTTATTTTTCTTTGGATTTGTTTCCACTTCTAGAATGGTGGGGTCAAATATTCTGGGGTTCACTCCTGAGTTGTCACCCCGGCCTTGTGTCGCTGGCTATGGCGGCAGTGTCAGATTCTCTGAAAAATCTCACTGTTCCATCTATTGGGCACTGCACTTAGTTGTTTATGTGCATAGCTTTAGAGGCCAGGTCCAAACTGTGCAGTTCAAGAAATGCAAGCAGCATGACATCCTCTGGGTTTAACATCTCACATAGCAGCCTCATGCAGCCTCTTGTCCCGGGGGTGGGCTCTTGAAGGAGATGAGCTTGAGATCTGGGGAACTGAAGGCAGCAGAGAACAAGGCAGCAGGAACTTAAACCTCAGAGACCAGCAGTTATGTTTCATGGAAACCTCAAGTCAAAAGCCAACAGAATATCACTCTTCATCTGACAAAATTGGGAGCCTTAGCTGTCAGGGTTAGGAAAATCGCATTCCGTGGAGAAATGTGATGCCTTCACTGCAAGCTGATGAGAGGTGCTTCAGGAAATGATTAGGGAAAGACTTCAAGGAAACAAGGTTCCATCTGGCTTGGATCCTGCCAGAGAGCAGGATGAATTCTGGGGACTGCTGTCATCAAAGGAGCAGAAGGGGAGGAGCAGAGTGAAGCCAGTAACACTGGCACGTGGACCAGGCAGAGGACATCTGGGCCTTTTTTCATTTTCTTGCTTGCTTTTGTCTCTACATCCACATGATTATGGAGTTGTTTGAGTTTTTAAGTATTTTTCATACAATTCCACTATGATCACAAAGTGGCCTTTTGAGGCTGATTTTCTAATGCTGCTTTTCTGTGAAAATACTATGTTTTCAGGGCTGCTTGTATTACTTTCTCAGATTCCTAATGGCTTCAAGTGGCGCAGTGAGCTGCTTCAGATAAGCGAGCTGTGGTGAGAACAGCAGCAGAAAGGGAAATACACGCAGTAAGCAATGAGTTTCTCCTAATACCTGTGGTCAAAACTTTACAATTGCTTGAATCTGTTAGTAAGGCATCTGGGGTATGTAATAATAAAATCAGCACCATTTGTTGAAAGGACTCATTGTCTATCCAACCCTGAGCTGCCTAACCACCTTTGTGGGAAATGTGTTGATTTTGCACTTTGATCTGCCCAAACTAGTTTGTGTATTCCAGTTAGAGAGAGATAGCCCTGGCAAGGGTCCCAGCTGCAGCCTACAGCGCCTCCAGTCAGCCGAGACAGTTTCAGCACTCACCAAAAAATTCTTTGTCATCTGCAAAGTAATCGTTCAAATAACACGATAAGGGCATGAAAAAAAAATGATCACACAATGGAACAATAAAGCACAAACTGTTCTTTTCAGTGAATTAATAGAGACAACTAGTATAGCTATCTATATGCAATGTATTAACCAGCTTTTATCTCCTATTATTTTGTTTTGAAACTCTGTACCATTGTTTTTTTTTTTTTTTCTTTTCATTTTTAAGATAATGTTTTGCTTCCTTTTTGTGGTGCTGGTGATGGGACCAGCAAACTTGCACATGTGAAATGAGTGTTCTACCGGGAGCCACATTTCTGTTTCTGTTTTTTCTTTTCTCAGAGACCACACTGCTGGATGTTAGGCATGATCCATCATTATTCCAGGTGGGAAGATTAATCCAGGCCCCATTACCTCATATCAGCTAAAAGCAGATTCTGTCTGCCTTTTAGAAATCCCAGGGTTATCCGGTGCTGGTCCAGAGCCTGACCTCTCATTTGGAGCCAGGCTTAGGACAGCGCTCTCAGCACTTTCTCTCTACTGTCACTTCAAGCTACTTTTCTGTCCACCAAAGGCCACACTTGCGTGACAGCCCATGGTGACGCAGGTTCTTTTTATGTAGTTGAGATGTTACAGATTTAGAAAAGCCAGATTTGATGCAGTGAATCCAATTTGCAAACACGTTGCTTTCCTACCACCTAGTAAAGCTACCAAGAGTCACAGACCCAAGAGTGAGGCTGAGAGGTGAAGACAGTCTCAAAAACGGTGTGAGGCTCAGTGACAGGACAAGAGTATCAGCACTGAACATGACTGGGCCATAATAATTTTCAAAAATATTGTATGTGCTTAAACAATGTGAAAATGCCCTGCAATACAATAAATGCATAAAAACATCATACACTGTAGTAACTCAAGTGGGGAGAAGCGACAGAAAGAAAGGGAAGTGAGTAATAGTAGTATTAGTAGCAATCAACACATTCAGTACTTTTCATATGACCATTGCTCTACTCAGCACATTGTGTGTATCTCATATGTAATCATTGCAAACATTATGTGTTAGCTAATTTATTATCTCATCTAGCTTTGGGGAAATAAAGCCACAACAGGTTAAGTCACTTTTCCAAAGTTACGTAGCTTGTTTCTGGAAGAACCGGAAGGATTACTGACAGCAGGTGAAATTCATAAGACGTTCTATGCTTCAAAATGTGCTTGGTAATATAAAGTGAAACTAATGGCTAGAATTTAAGTAAGGATAAGAAAGGTAACTGGAAATTTCACAAAGAGACTAGATTCTTATGCCTTCAACCAGTCTTGTGTTTCCGTAGAGTTGATGAGGACTTCAATGAAGTCTTGACAATCACTAAAGAACTTTCTACTTCTGTTTCCGAGCCTCGTCCTGCTCCTCTCATTCGTGGGTATTTCCTGATTATCTCTCCAGGCCAAGCCGTTCTCCAAGATGTTTCCACTGCAAGGTGCACAGATGTTGCAGATGCTGGAGAAATCCCTGATTAAGCGCATTCCGGCATCCTTAAAGGTGACAAAGGGAAATGCCCAGGGGAGGGAGCGAGACCTGCTGTGAAAGAGGAGAGAAGGCACCTGTCTTGAGCCAGGCACTATTTTATATTTATCCCATGTAATGTGTATGGTTTATCTGCAAGACATTTGTTAGTATGTGTGTTTCATGGAGGATGAAGAGGAGGCTCAGGCATTCACACTGACTGAGAAAATCATTCTCTTGCTTCTTTCCAATTAATTTTTAACAATAACCTTTGAAATGTTCCTAGAGTTTTATTCCAGAATGAGCTGAGATTACATATTAACATTTAATTACTCGTTAATGTCTACTTTTGAAGTACATTTGCCAAGTGAGAGGTGGACCCTCACGAGTTAATGATCATGAGTCTCTTTGCTGTTACTAACAGATCAGTTCCTATTTCAACTTAAATTTTTTGATTTCCCAATTCCTCTGAGCGTGATCCCTATCGGGTGCCTTTGGTACCTTCCTTATCCTTATACAATTGATTTGAAACCTTAAGATTAAATGAAATGAATGTACATAAATATTTACATCCAGAACTGTGTGAGAACAACTCTAATTATACATTTGGATATTTGCTCTTATTTTACATCAACTTTGTAAATGTTGGAGGATTCCACTCTAGTGTGTATTGTGTGTGTGTCTTTTTAGCAGAAAATTACTTATAAATTTGTGTACCTTAGAAATTATTTATAGGACATCCTTTCCTATACAATGTTATATATAATTCCTATGTAAGATTTTAGATAAGATGAGTTCATTAAACTTCATCATTCTCTAATAGACTTGTTATTCCCTTATTACAAAGGAGAAAATGTAGCATTCTTTTATTTATAGATCAAATGGTTTTAACGTTCATTCAGTGGAAACAGTTTAATAAGGCACTTTGCTGTATTCTTTAATTATTACCCAAATGATATCACATCTACTGAAGTCATCTACTTTCATGGAACTCACTAATATTACATACTATATAATCACTTCCATCCTACAATTCTTAATACTCAGGCAAATCCTGGAACAATAGCTCATTTTTCTTGGCTGTTATGTCAGGTAGACTCTACTGACTGTAATCTGAGATATTTTATTGGGATTGATGATTTTTAAAAATTCTCTAACCTAAAAGCTTTTATTCAATGTTTTATGATATAGAATTTTATAATATAAATTTCCCTTTATCTCTGTGTTACATGTACTCCAAACATTTTGAGAAAACACGTGATGATTCCCTGTGGTCTTTTCTTGGAATACCTGTGTGGTGAGAGTGTCTCTCTGGGCTCCTCAGCTTTCAGGAAGGCTGACCTCGACTCTTTGGTTGTAAACTGAATACGTGCATTTTTCCCTACTGGTAATACAGAACACTTGTATGCTAGGTACTTTTAATGGAGATGTAACCTAGAACTCACGATTATGCAACACTTACTTGAAACCTCATTGAGAAAATATCTCCATTCTTTAAGTACTAGATGCTAAATATATTTCATTAAAGTTATCAACTACAACTGATTCAAATGGTAGTAATTACTCTCCTATGCTTTGCTCACTATGTTCTGAGTTCAGTAGAAAAAATAGCTTAATTAGAACTTATTATTAATTCCAATTAGCTTTAATTAACTTAGAAATAGTGTCTATCTTCTTTTTCCTCTTGGTCTCACATCAGTAGTTGATGTGGGTGAGGATGTTGACATCATCCTTAAATCCTTTGTTTGCATGATGGGCATTATCACAGTGCACAACATCTATTCAGTCTTTGGTCCCTGGCATATTTTCATGCCGGTATCTGATGCTCCTTTATGTTTGTAGCTTTCATGAGGTCCATGATGGTAGCCACTACTGCGTTCCTCAGTCTCACAACAATACAGACTTTTACCATCCACAGGTTTGCTCTCTCTCATTCATGCTTATTCTCTCATCTCTCTTCCTTTCTCTCTCTCCCAACACCCAGTACAGTGTGGTGGAGGTGGGAATCCAAGACTGGATCCAGGCCATGAGATCCAAGATTATTCCCTTAGCACTAGTTTAAGGCCTCTGCCAGCAGATAGGAATTTATTTAATTCTCTAGAGGGTAATGGGGAATATTGGTGAAGGTGTTTTAAATATGCATATGACTTTTGAATCAAAAATTATCCTTTTGGATAGTCTAAGGAACTAGTAGATACCCATGCAAAGATTTTTATCCAAACATGTAGGAGGAATTATTTCATAAAATGAAAAGTTGAATACATTTAAATGGTAATTGATTGCTAAGTAACTAAGTGAACTGTGAAATGCCCATATAGTGGAACCATATTCAACCATTAGTAAGTAAAAATGAATTTTTATGTTTGCCAAAATAGAAACATTCAGTGGGGGAAGAGGAACAACTATTGCTCGTTTTGTTTTTATAAAGTTTTTCACTGTGCCTGAATGGAAGAAAGTCTGGAGAAAAATAATATTAAATTCCAAAATAAAGAAAAATGCTCCTAGAAATCATTAATTTTATCTGCCTGAGTGCTTTGTGCATTATGATTCACATTTGATGGAAAGGAAAAGTCTTGGAACTGAGTTTTAAAAAGCAAAGAAGTACATGGAAGGGGCTGGGGATTTAGCTCAGTGGCATAAGCACCTGCCTTGCAAGCAGGCAGTCGTGAGTTCGATCCCTGGTACCGGAAAAAAAAAAAAAAGAAGAAGAAGAAGTACGTGGAGCTTGTTGACCTAAATTATCTATTTGGTTATTTATTATAGAAGTGATCTTTGTCCTGATGAAACAAAGCATTCTGCCATTCTTTCTTACTAAACTGCCTTTCTCACTTTCTTGGCATCCTGCAGGTTTATGGGACTGTCTTTCACATTAACCATGGAAATCCATTCAATCTAAAAGCCTTGGTGGACAAGTGGCCTGATTTTAATACAGTAGTTATCCGCCCTCATGAGCAAGTAAGTGCCAGATATGGAACAAATATTCTTCCATGTTCAGATTTGCTGTTTGTCTATTATGTACCTAGCAAAGCAGTAAAATCTAGAGATACAGCGATAAATCACAGCAGGGGTTAACAAGTCCCTGAACTCAGGAAGTAACCTTGCCAAGAACCTATAAGTAATTGATTTAGTGCAATCTCTGTCAAAATCGTCAAGATATAGGGTCAACCCAAGTGATCATCAATGACTGAATGGATTTTTAAAATATGATATATAAAACCTGGAATACTGCTTAGCCATAAAAATAAAGGAATTTTGCAATTTGTGATAACATGAATGTACATGGAAGCTATTATGTTAAGCAAGATAAATCAGGCATCAAAAGACACATCATATGTGAAAATCTACAGCAGTGAATCTCGTGGAAGCAGAGACAGAATGGCAGTTTCCTGTGGTTGGGTGATTATTGAAGTTGGGATAATGTTGGCCAAAGGATACAAGTTAGAAATGAGGAGTAAGTTCTAGAGGGCTACTGCACAGCATGGTGATTATAGATAATGACTTTAATTATCAAAAAATGCAGAGATAATGAATTGTTCTCACCACAAAATTGTGAAGTGTGAGGTAATGCACATGTTAATTAGCTAGATTTGTTCATTCCACAACGTATATACAGAATCATGCATTGCATAATCACTTTTTAGTCAATAAGGGATGGTATAGATGACATTGGTATCACGAGATCATGTCACCTAGGGACACTGTCTTCATTTCAGTTTCTGCAAACACAGTCTATGACATTTTTACAGAGACAAAATCACCTAGACTGCATTTCTAAGAACACATCCCCGGTGTTAAGCCACGCATGACTTCTACTCCAACAGACACTGCGTATAAAAACCATCACAATTGATGTGATTTAAAAAGTCAACTAGCATTTAAAAATATGATACAAGACAAAAACAATGGAACATAAAATATATACAGAATTATATTTTAAACGCAATGCAAAATATTTTAAAAGACTAAATCAATATATAAAATGGAGAAGTACAGGTTAGTATTATAATGGAACTGAAATAAATATTTGATCTTTTATGCCTAATCTTAAACAATAAATGACATCTCTAGTGTCTTTCCTGACTTGCGAGTATATTTTTGTTCACTATTTCCACTACTGAAAAATATTCTCTAATTCTACCCTGTATAGTAATATTTTTTTCTGTCTCCTTTTTCCAAGTAGTCTGTTATTTAGTAATTTGAAGAGGACTTTCTGAATGTGTTTTGTTTCTTCAAATTATAATTGGTTTGACCATAGTATTTTAAAGGCAGCATTTCTGGTGGCTTTCATCTTGTATGGTTTTATTATGCACCAATAGAGGCTTTAAATCTAGAGTTACCTGCATCAGCTTTAACAATGCCATGTGCGTAGCTTGCGTTCTGCAAGGATTGAGTTGTGGTCAAATCTATTCTAGCAAAAGAAACTTTCCTTCATCCATTGCTTTTATCTTCCCTATGTTGGGAACAATTGAGATATAAAATACTGACAAAATAGGTGGGCCTTTCATTTGAAACGTTACTGTAGTATATGCGTAGAGGATGAGCATTGTTCTGGAATTTTCTGTTATTAGTTGAATATTTGAATCTCTTACTTTGATCTTAACATTTGAGTGATTCAGAAAAAGTAGGTTGCAGCAAAGAAATACTAATATTTCACTACGTAAAACATATTACAGAATGATAGAACTAGCATTACAACCACAACCTATAACTGATATTTTATTTCATAACAGGAGATGACAGATGACCTTGATCACTATACCAATACTTACCAAGTATACTCCAGGGACCCTCAAAACGCTCAGGAATTCCTTGCCTCTCCAGAAGTCATCAATTGGAAGCAACATTTCCAAATTCAAAGTAAGTAAGTGATGGGATGCATACTGACTGACGTTTGTGTCCTGGTAAATTCACAGGTACTTAGCTCCCTTCCTCTGACCTCCAGACCCTCAGCCCACTGCAAAGGAAGAAAAAAGACAAAGCCATTAACTATCGCAAAGAAATTCTGGCATATTTCGCAGCTATCCTGAGAAATCTTAGAGTGATGGGTGCCAGTAGCAGAGCTTTGCTGCTGCCCTCCCTGGACTATGAAAAGCCTGCTGTTTGCTGCATAGCAAAACTCATAATTAAGGGAACCAACAATGAGGGCTCATCTTTGCGAGGTGGATCCTCTGATGGGAGAACTCTTCCTCCCTCTTTTGGCTTGGCCTCACATAAATATGGAGGATGGAGGATGGTGTCTGCTACCTGTGATGACAGCAGCATAGCAGAGTATTTCACCTGCAAGCCAGCCTGGGTCTGTGTTTGTGATGTTAGTCTCAAAACAACCAGGAACAAAGAGAAAGAGAAGCCCAAGGTACAAGCACCATTAATCCCCTCCTTGCACTGAATTTGCTTTTTGCATTGGTGAATGCAAACAGGTAGCCCAGGCCAGATGCATTGGTAGGAAAGGACTGTTCCGGGGAATGAATACCAGGTGACAAGGTCGATCAAAAGTCATTTCTGTAAGAATCTATCACATTACAATCATAGCTCAGTAGATGTTGGCTACCATTTTTGTATCTCATCACCTTTGATTATCAAAACTACATAATTACATAGTCCAGAAAATGTAGTTCCAGTCTTAATACTGACACTGTGAACACAACCATGAAAGAATTCAGGACTGAATATGCTTTCATTTATATCAAACAGGAAATTACACAAATTCTTTCCAAGTAACTAGACACCCAACAGCAGCGTTACATCCAGTACTAAGGTTTTCTGATATTTCCTGCTCTCCTGCAAGCTTCTCCCTAGAATGCACTTAAACCTATCATGACTCTTTATAAACCCATCTAGGTTCACAATCGGACCTGAACGAAGTGATACAAAATCTTGCAAAGTCAAAATCTTACCAAGTCAAACACTCACAAAACTTCCTCTATCTGGCATCTCAGACAGCTAAGAAACTGGCCCCTTCCCTCCTGGATACAAAGAATTTATCCCCGAGTGGTGGCAAGCCCAAGGCTATGTGAGTTTGATTACTATCTCTCTGTACTGTTCCAACTTTCCACTAAAGCACCCTTTCCTCCTTCTCTCCCTGTTTTTACTTTAGCCTCCCTAAAATGCATTCTACAGAGCACTTGATATTTTTTAAGTGCAGCTCAGAGCATGTCCCCACTCTGCTTTAAATAAGCCACTATCTCCACACTTACCAGAAACAAATCAAACCTTGGTCTCCCACGTGGACCTTCCTCCCCCTTGCCCACTCCTCTGACCACATTGGCTTTCTTCCTCTTCCTCACTCATTGCAAGCTCATCCATACTCCTGCACTCTGTTACTGCTATTTCCTCAGCAGTTTCTCAGGGGACAGAGGTAAGGACAAACCCGTATCTTTATATGCATGGACTTTGCTTTTTTCTTTGTCTCTCCACAGCAATGAAGACATGTTTAGGCTCTCACCCCTAAATGTTACCCATGCTGCCTTTTTGAATACATTTTGGGCCTTTGGTGGTAATGAGAGGAGCCAGAGATTCATCGAGCGCTGTATCCAGACTTTCCCCAGCTTCTGTCTGCTGGGGCCTGACGGTAAACTTGCATCCTGGTGTCTAATGGACCAGACTGGAGAAACGCGGGTAGCAGGCACCTTGCCTGAGTACCGGAGCCAGGGTCTTGTCTCCTATGTTGTCTACACACTAGGCCAGACTATGGACAAGCTTGGTTTTCCTGTCTACTCTCACACAGACAAGAGCAACAAGGCCATGCAGAAAATGAGTTACACTTTGCATCATATCCCCATGTCCTGTGACTGGAACCAGTGGCACTGTACTCCTCTGTGAGGCTGGTGGTGTTGGGTGGGCCTGGACAGTCAATGGTGGACACAAAGAAAGAATACACTCTAATAAGAAAAAAAGGATGGGGGCTCTTTTGGGTTGTTTTTTTGTTTGTTTTTTTTGTTTTGTTTTGTTTTGTTTTGTAACAGGGATCAAACTCACAACTTCCTGCTTGCCAGGCAGGCCCTTATGCCACTGAGCTAAAAGCCGGCCCTCTTTTGGCTTTGAGTAAGTAATGTGAATGGTCAACCCAAGCACCATATTCACATGGTCAGATCACTTATGGACCTCCCTTAGGTTGCTCAACTTAAAGTAAGCCTTGATCTTGTACGAAGCCCAGTGGAATTGAGCTTCCCGCATTTCTAGGATGTCGGCTGCTGCAAGTGACAAGAGAAAAAGGGCAAAAAGGAAAAGCACACCTCCTTCCTACCCTTATATTGTATGCTAGTTCTACCCCCCCCCCGGGGGAGGGGCAGCACTCACTCAGCCAATCCCAGGGCCAGACAACAAACTAGACTCAGCCACCTCCATTGACTACAAGAGGCCTCAGTGGGGGGATCACTCAGACACAAACCATCACATTCCACCCCTGGACCTCCAAAGACTCATGCACATCCTTTATGCAAAAGACATTTAATCCATCTCCAAGAGTTGCCGAAGTACAAACACTTTCAGTATTGCTAAAAAGTCCAAATTCCAAAACCCCTCCAAGAGCTAAAGTCTTAGCTATAACATCCTATACAAATGAAAACAAAATTAAACCCTTCCAACATACAAGGATACAACATAAATATTACCTCTTAAAAAGGTACAAATGGTGATACAAATGATTGGAATCAAAACAAGTCCAAAATCCCGCAGTGCCAACTAAATCCTGGAGCTAAGTCCATTGTCAGTATTTGAAGCAATCTGGTTGTGAGCTCCCAAAGTCTTGAGTGACTCCACCCCATGGTATTTCTGGTGGTTTTAGCTTCCACAGCTTCTTTTCTCTTAGGCTTGTTCTTATAGGTTTTCTTAGAAGGTCCCACTGCTAGGTTTTCCAAATTTCTGTGATCTCCACTGCACATTTGGTTTCTCACTCACAGCTTCACACACTGGCCTCTCAAGGTCACACTGCCTGGCCTCTCAGATTCTTTGAAATCCAGCTGGAAGCCTTTTACAACTCAGAACTTGTGCATTCTCCATGCATCTAAAACCAGTGTCATGTGGATGATGCCAAGATCTGCTGCCAGTTGGAGTGGTAGACAAGCTTTCCTCTCTCTTAGCTGTAGAGGTTGAGTACCTGGATCACTGAGTATTCTCAACCTGATTGTGAGGAACAGCTTCTCTATGCTGCTGCCATTCTGAGACCTGGTGTGGCCTCTGCTGCCCCTCTGAAACACAGTGCTCTGTGGGTTTCTCCTTGAAGTACAATCCTTCACTTTTGCAGTTTTGAGGCTGCAAAGCTTGTGGACCCACTTTTGCTTGTGATGCCCTAGTGCCGTGCTTTATATTTCCTCTTCTTTCTCAGCAATAGAGATCTCAGCTCTGTCATTGCAGTCTACAACCTTATTGAAGCTTCATTCCTGGAAGAACTCACAATGTTTTAAATTACGCTGCTGGGCTCTCTGTTCTTGGTTCATAACATAAATCTGGCTAAAATCCTCCAGAAATAGTGATACCACCACATCAGTGTTTGACTACGTAGATATTTCTTCTGTAAGATTAATCTGCTGCCCTTAATCTTAGTCTCAGGCAAGGTCTCTTGACACAAGCAAAATGCAAGCAAACTTTCTACCAAGCCATAACATACATTTTCTGGAATCCAACAAATAATGCAGTCCTTTCCAGCAGAAACTTTCTGAACTTGGTCTTTGCTGATTTTCTGGTATTCTGTGCTCTGACCAGAATCTCCCATACAAAACAGCCTAAGACATTCCAGCTCTACTCCTTCAGGCAACATCTCCAAACCTTCCCAAATTCTTCCCACAGGCCGTTCCCAATCTTGAACCACATGGTCAGGTACCATCATGACAACTATGCCACTCTACTCGTACCAAATTGGCTCAGCGAGCAGAGTGGTGTGGCTAAAAGACAAACATTCATGGCAGTCACAAGCTGCAAGCACAAAAAGGACAAAAGAGGAAACCATGACTCCTTCCCTCCCTTAAATAGTATGTTGACTACCTGCCCCTGGATGGGGGCAGCACCCCTACAGCCAATCCTAGTGCTAGGCAATGAACCAATCACAAATGCTAGACTCAGCCACCTCCATGACTGCTTGAGGCTTTGGGAGGACACCCAGACACAAATCATAACAGGGGAAAAGAAAGCAAGACAGCAGATTCAGCATTGAAGACTCTGGATGCAGCATCTAAACCAGCAGTGTTGCAGACAGGTAAGAGGAGTGTATTAATCACCAAGTGGAGGCCAACAGTCCAAAGTTCAGTGTCTTAATATCAAAATAGCAGGCTGCCATTTCTATGAGTGGCTGGGAGGCCTGCCCTTCTCCCTGCAGGGATTCCCTGTGGCAGTGGCAGTGGGGAGGGGAGAGGTGGAAGAGGCAGGGTCACAGTGAGTCTGAAATAGGAAGAGGGGACTCAGGTATAGAAAACGGGCTCATTAGACCAGCATGAGGAGAGAGACCTGAAGATTTTTTGAGATGGAGAGGACAGCAAAATGCGCAGGGAAAGGACACTGCTCTGCACTCCTAAACCAGTTGATTTCACAAACGTGGCCTAACAGAGGAGCCTGCCCTGCAGACCCCCAAGGGAACATGGCATCATCGCACCTCAGCTGGCTGAGCCTCTGCTATGTCTCACCACTGACACACGTGGTGTGGTCTAACCACAGGATCACTGTTTCCCTCGTGAAATTCCTCCTCTACCAAGCTGCAATCTATACTTATACTTATCTATTTAGCTATAAGTCATCTGTCTTTTCTTTTTCTTTTGATGTTATCCCCAGGATCAAGAATTTTTATCTATATTTTTTTCTAGTAGTATTTTGGCTTCGACTCTTATACATAAGCCACAGATACTTCTGTGGCTTATGTGTTATCTGAGGAATGCGTTCACCTTCATTCTTTTTGCACATGGATTTACCCTTGTCCCAGAACAATTTGCACAAGAGAACAGTTTCCTCATTGAATGAACTTGATGTACTTGTCAACAGTCCAGCCAAAAGTATAGATCCTTTTTTCTGTGCATTTAATTTGTTCATGACTATAATTACTTTGGCTTTATAAAAAACTAGGAAATCAGAAAGCATGAGTCACCCTACTTTATTTTTTTTTTGTCAAGATTATTTTGGCTAGTAAAAGTCCTTTGCAGTTCAATATGTATTTTTGGAGTGGATTTTCTATTTAGGTAAATAAGCCCATCAGAAGTTTGATGCCAGCTTTATTACCTGTACATGTCACAATGGATGGATGTGTTGTCACTTAATGTTGTTAAGTTTTCCAATCCCTAAACAAAGAACATTTTTCAGTTATCTAAAAATTTAAAACTTTTTGCAACTTACTGCAGCTTTCAAAGAGAAGTCTTGGCTAAACTTACTACTGTGTATTTGATTCATTTAAATGCTGCTATAAGTGAAATTATTTTAATTTTATTTTTGAATTATTTATTACCAGTAAGTTGAAATAACTGGATTTTATTCAAAGATCTTGGATCACATCACTTTTCTGAGGAAGACTATTAGTTAACAGTAAGACTATTAGTTAATAGATTTTTATGTTTAGAATTTTTATATTTAAAGTCATATGTAAGTGTAGTTATAATCTTAGTTCTGCTTTTCTGATTAGATATTTTTAATTTATATTTTCTTCCCTACTTGCTCTGGATAAAATTTCTGGCACAACTTTAAAAGGTATGGTAAAATTCCACTTTATCTGATCTTATGTGGGAATTATGTATGTATGTATGTATGCACTTATGTATTTGTGACTCATTATGAATCACAGGCTGATCTTGAAGTTGCAGGAATTTTTCTGCCTCAGCCTCTAAGTACTAGGATGACAGGCATGTGCCACCACACCAAGCTTTGTGGGAAATTTTTACTTTCACTTTAGAGTATATCAGCTGTGGGTTTTCATAAATAGTCCTTATAGGTTGCAGACCTTCAGTTCTATTCCTAGCTTTCTAAATACTTTTACCATGAATGAATGCAAAAGTTTGACAGAAGTTTATCTTGTACTGATGAAATGACAACTTTTATCATTATAATAATTTTTGTATATCTACTAATTTTCATACATTAAGTAATGTTATACTCCTGAAATAAATTCTATAGAGCAACAGTTTACAATTATGTTGCTGGATTTCATTTAATAGCATTTTCTAGTATTGTTGTGTATATGTTCAAGAAGTATATTGGTCTGTATTTTTTATTCCTTCATGTTTTCTTCAAACTTTGGTGTCATGCAATTCTAGCTGCCCAGAAAGAGAAAGAGTTGCAGGCTATTATCTGAGTGTACACACACACACACACAAACACATTGAAGAAAATGAAGAAACAAAACTGAAGGAAAGTATTTCATTAGGCCATCTCTTTTTGTGGCCAACAAATAGTGAAAATAACACAAATGTTTCTCAAATGAGGAGAAAGACAATAATGGGTAAAGAGTATGTAATGGAACCTAACTTTACAATAAGAGCTTTCATTAGAGGCACAGGTAATAATAGGACTGATCCTCAGAAATAGTATTCTAGGTACTAGGTGCAAAACCAGAGTCTACATATTCTAGGACATACAGAGAGAGAGACAGAGAGAGAGAGAGGAGAGAGAGAGAGAGACAGAGTCAGAGAGAGACAGAGAGAGAGAGAGACAGAGAGACAGAGAGACAGAGACAGAGACAGAGAGAGAGAGAGACAGAGAGACAGAGACAGAGATGGAGACAGAGACACAGAGAGAGAGACTCAGAGAGAGAGGGCATTTAGAGTTGCCAAGTACTGTGGATGGGAAAAGGATCTGCCTATGAAGAAGTTTCATAAAGATTAACTACAGGTGACCACAGCAGTGGTGACATGAATATATAATTGACTCTGTTTTTACAGCAATATCCTAACTTGTATACACATTATTATTTGCAAAGGATGTACCAATTAAAACATGTAGAAACATATATGGGAATATTCTAAATACACAGCTAAGTCAAACACATAACTTACCTGTTTCTTCCTTAGAAAAAAACAGGATGAGGAACTACAGATGCCCTCATGGGAAACTTCTCCAGAGGGCTGTATTGCTGTTATTCCTTCCAGCTCCCCTGTGTACCTTCTGACATCCAATGGGCAGCCAGGTGATTCTTTTAAAAAAGATGAGACTGCCTGCTGGCAGTGCTGGTCATCATCTGTTCCAGTGTTAATATTCGTTAGTATGCACAGGCTTTCTTCTGAACTAAAGATCCACTAGGAATATGCAACCATGGATAATGAAAGTAACCAAGATAAAAAAAATTGTATCGACTGACCTCAAAGAAGTCACCAGTTACCAAGCTGTTTTGTGCACCTTCCTTTCCTTGCAACTCACAAACACAGCTCCGTGAACTACATGGAAGGGAACTTACTTCACAAACAAAGAGGGAGCAAATGAGTTGTTCAAAGGTATAGGATGACAGACTCATGGCCTGAATGCATATTGGCATTTTTTCCTCTAGTTTTTTGCTGGCTTAGCATTTGCTGAACTTTTTACCTGCAAGAAAGCTTCTCTAACAGTATTTGTGCATTAGTCAGTGGAACAATTTCTGACTTTAAACTCACTGCTCAGAATCCGCCATTACTTTGGTTCAAGAAGTGAGGTAAGCTTCCATAGTCAACATACAATTTCGGTGAAAAGTGTAGTTCGTGAAAAAACAGTAATAACATAACTACTACAGGCTATTTGAGCACAAAGATAGACTTCGAACAATTTTTCTAAATCCCTGAAATAAAGCCACACCATAGATACTAAAATTCCATCATTAGAGAGTTTAGTGTACTTGTGAAACATTCTCATGCTGCTCACTAAAATTATTAACAAAACATCATCATAGATGAGGCTCTGATTTACCACAAAGGGAATTTGGTTTTTTTCACTGTCAGCTGTTTTCTCATAGGAAAAACTGAGCAAAATGACTTCTTTCTGTTAAAAAGGCATCTATATGAATTATCAGATTTGATTTGTTTTAATGTTTCCACTCCAAATTCTGTAACTTCATTTTTAATATTATGGGTAAATCTACCCTAGGATACAATAATATGGCTAAAAGCAAGGGCTTTTGATTAGGGTGAGACTGGGTTTAAATAATGAAGTTAGAATCTTCCTCACTCTGATTTTGGAATTTTACAATATGACTGAACCTCACAAATAATCAATTGCCATCACAGAAGAAGGAAATAATAATGCTCATTTTATGCACATACAGACAGGTATAAATATGCAGTCACACATGTGTCTTATTGTATGCTGTAGAATGTAGAACCAAAGGTGGGTGTGTGTATCGTTATGGGCTAGCTTGTCAGCTATACAAAAGGAACAGGAGAAAAAACCAAAACATGGTATTGGGCAGAACATGAATTCACTCCAAAAAAAAGTCTACAATTCAAATAAAAGTATGTAAAAGGACTGTTGCTGCATTAGACAAGATTCAAATGAAACTCTTCAACACAGCCTTTTCAACAAAATAGATCTTAGTGCTAAAAGTAACCTACAAACTATGACCTTTCAACTCTCACTAATTGTGATTCAGCTATGACATGAAAGTAGTGAAAAACATTCTTTCAGTCAAGCTGAGATACAGATTTGAAGTATGATGTTCGCAAAATAACAGCTCCAGGAAATGAACCAAGCCTCCAGTCAGCTGGGGCATGTGTGACGGTGTGTATTATACATGGGTATATAAAATCTCAGTGACTCTAGGGTGGAAAAGAAGCAATTTGAAGTGTGAGGTTTCAGAAGCAAACTTGCTGTGCACCTCTGTCATCTCCTGAGCCATCACTGCACCCCTGCAATGATAGGACAGATAATGATCATCCAGCTTTGCCAAACACAGAGCATGTGACTATTTTTAAAAACTAGATTATTTTATTCAGTGCTCACAAGAATACCTTGAGGTAAGGTCACTACCATATTAATTTTGTCTGTGAATAAAGCCTAGTTTAGAGAACACTAGTTAGGACTGTAGGCTCTCAATTCTTCAGCGTGGAGCTGAACTGTACCTCATCCCAGAACCTCAGCTCTGTGCATAAGATTGTACTCTGGGTATTTCCAGCCAGCTAGTCATCTAGACCCTGCTGTCCCAGTATCGTCCATATCTGCAGTCACTGTGAACTCCAAACACTGAGCTTGGATCATCAGAGATAATCAATAACTAAAATGCAGCTTCATTTAAAATTTAGTTTAGACCATAACACTAACCATTCTGTCCAGCACCACAGTTCCACAGATTAGTCTGCCAATTAATGGAAGTGAGTATATTACTCATCTTCCTGTGCTTCACAATCTAAGAGAAACTAGCAGTTCCTCTCTTTTATAAATTTGTTGATGAATCAGGGAACATAGTTGTCAAAGAGTCTAGCGATGTTCTAGTTAGAAAAAGGTCTATGAATTCACTAGGGTAGGAAAAGATAGTGAGATCAGCATACCAGGTAATTTTTTGAATTTTCAAAATCTCAATTTGCACTTATCTAAGAATTTAAAAATGGAAAGTGGATCTCATTTAATAGTTTGAGGCTCTGTGGATAATATGCTAAATTTTGTTATTAAATTCATGTTTAGTTATGGAAAATCTTGAAATGCATATCAGTGCTGTAGTAGAATAATGCCTGTGAAATAAAAGCATTTCAATCGTGCAGTCAACACACGTTTAATGCTCTGTTCCTTTATTTATCTTTTCTACAGATGTCTCCTGATTCCCAAATAACACTGATGGAGAACAGGACAGAAGTGGCAGAGTTCATTCTCCTGGGCCTAACCAATGCCCCAGACCTCCAAGTCCTTCTCTTTGTAATGTTTCTTCTCATCTACCTCATCAATGTGGTTGGAAATCTGGGGATGATCGTGTTTATTCTCTGGGACACTCGCTTGCACACTCCCATGTACTTTTTCCTTGGCAACCTGTCCCTGGTGGACATCTGTTACTCCTCAGCTGTCACTCCCACAGTCTTAGCTGGGCTCCTGATGGGAAACAAGGTCATTACCTACAGTGCCTGTGCAGCTCAGATGTTTCTGTTTGCGTCCTTCGCCACTGCGGAAAATTTCCTGTTGGCAGCTATGGCCTATGACCGCTACGTGGCAGTGTGCAAACCCTTGCACTATAACAGCACCATGACCACAAGCATGTGTGCATGCCTGACCCTGGGCTGCTACATCGGTGGTTTCCTGAATGCCTCCATCCACACTGGGGACACATTCAGTCTCTCCTTCTGTGAGTCCAGTGTGGTCCATCACTTTTTCTGTGATGTTCCAGCAGTCATGGTTCTCTCCTGCTCTGACAGACACATCAGTGAAATGATTCTTGTTTATGCAGCGAGCTTTGTTATTTGCTCTGCCCTCCTTGTTATCTTGGTATCTTACATGTTCATTTTTATCAGCATCCTAAAGATGCATTCAGCTGCAGGATACCAGAAGGCTCTGTCCACCTGTGTTTCTCACTTCACTGCTGTCTCCATCTTCTATGGGACTCTCATCTTCATGTACCTGCAGCCCAGCTCCAGTCACTCCATGGACACGGACAAAATTGTGTCTGTGTTCTACACCATAGTCATTCCCATGCTGAACCCCATGGTCTACAGCCTGAGGAACAAGGAGGTCAAGAGTGCATTCAAAAAGGTGGTGGAGAAGGCAAAATATTTTCTAGGCATGTGAATTTAACGTTGTAGAAGTCTGGAATACTCTAGCTTTATTCTTGTTTGATTTTCTTCAAGCACTTAGTGACATTTGAAGAACCATATTGACATGAATTTCCAGAATAGAGGCCTTTCCCTCTTTAAATATTTTTTTAGAACAGGGAAACACTGTCAGAGATGTATTACATAAAGAAGAACACAGAAGAGGCAGTACTAAGTGTATGAATTCTGCTTGTTGAAATACTGATTAAGGAGGTAATTTTTCACTCTTCCTGCATGGATTTCTTTGGCTATATGTCACTAGAGACACATATGTAAAATAGAGATGGATGCATCCCATGAACAGAAACCATCCAGGGATCCATGTGAGCACATACATGTGGGACCAGAAGGTTATCCAGAGGTAAAGGGAAGGTGGATAAGATTTAACAAAAATAATTTACATATTTAATCCAGACAGTAAAATATAAAATTGTGACTCATGGTTATGCTTTGTTGAATAACTTCTAAGGATTCTCATTTGATATACTAATAGCCTTAAATGTGTGTTCACATATTTTATGAAGAGATACAGAATTTAAGTAAACCTTAAATGAATTTAAGTATATCTTAAATTTCCTGTCTTGGCTGCAGTCATTTTGTAGAGTATCCATTTTCACTTTGTACTTGTCAGAAGGATGAATTAGCCATAGCATAACGAAGTGGGTGGGAGAGAGACAAAGGTATTTTAAGATCTATGACTATGTGATTACTGACATCTACACTATTTAAAAATTCTTTAAGATATTAGCAGTTTCTATATTTCCCCTCTTTGCAGGTACTTGGAGGTACCTAACATTGTTCCTTACTTCTACATTTGGTTGAGTTATGTCACCTTACTGTCATACCCACTGTTTTTTGCCTCATGCCATCCACACTGATCTTGATACTTTTTCACAGCCCCGTACACTTTCCTGCCATGGAGCCCTTGTGGGGAAAGTAACCCCTCTGGAAAAGGGCTCCTTGTTTCATCCAGGTCTCTACTTCAGGTATGATTCTATCGTGCCAACCTTCCTGACATCCGACAGGACACTCACTTTCCCTCCCCAGGCATGAGTCAGTGTGATTCTGGGCGTGGAAACCCACCAGAGGGTTGTTGCCAAAATGACATAAAAGGAGAATGGGAAGGGAACATAGGTGCTTCTGGTTTTCCTGGAGAAACTCGCCGAGGCTGGTTCTCCTGATGTCCTTGTCAATGGGGTTCAGAGAAGGCTGGTGTTTCTTTGGGGAGCTCTGGTCTTTGTCTTGTGCATTGGCTTCTTGCCACCAGTGCAGATCCCTCAGTCTGCTGGCACAGATCCTTCATCCCACAAGTGCAAACTTTCTAGCTTCCTTCCCTGGTATTGGGGTCTTTCCAGGGAAAATCCTTGATGCGGACTTGCATGAGACATTGCTGCCGGCTCTTGGCCTCTGGCTGGTCTTCTGCCAGTTTCTTTGTGTCTGTAGCATGTGGGCAGATCTTTTGTACTCTTCTGCACTTGATTTTGTGAGTGAATAACATGAAAGAATCCTATAAATTTTGTGTCCTGTATTTACATGTGTTCCCTTAAGTCACTGACTACAACATATAGGATAAGCAATGCATGGGCTGAGGCTATAAAAGGCAGATAGAAAAATTCCCACACATATGTAGATATACATGTGTGCAAACTATTGCTTATTTCAATGTCTCATTATCATGCTGATATTAAGATAAACGTGACTTCATGCTAACCCCTCTCTGTAAGCCAGTTCCAAGCAAAATCTGTAACTTCCTTCTCTGAGATTTAGAAACTGGGCACTTGACACCTCCTATTCATAGATACTGGAATCATATATACAAATAAAGCAATTTGACAGCTGTTAACTAATATTTGATGAGAACCACTTCTAGCCATGTAAGTGTTAGATTCATGCATAACTTCCTTTATTTTCAGATTTAAATTTCCTGATCACCATATTTTCTAACATTACTTACGTTAACCATCCCCTCCTGTTTCTCTTCACTAAGGTAAAGTGATACATCTGTAAAACACTTAGATTCTACATCATGATTTTAGAAGGGAAGCTTTCATTTTTTGTCATTTAATATGCTGGCAGTGGGTTTGATCTAAGTGAGCTTTATCACATTGAGATAAGGTCCCTCTAAATCTATTTTCTTCAGGATTTGCTTTTTCTTTCATCATGAATGGATATTGAGTTTTGTCTAAGACTTATTCTGTGTCTATTGAGATGATCATGTGATTTTTGCCCTTGTTTTTATTTATGCAATGTATCATTTTTTACATAATTAGAGAATTTCATCCATTCACATAACTTGCATTCAAGGTTATTAACAATAGTTAAGAACTCAGTAATGCCACTTTTTCATTCTTTTTCTTTTCTTTTTTTCTTTTTTTTTTTTTTTGGATGTACATTGTTTACTCCTTATTGTCTTCGAAATCAGGTGATTTTTCTGTATCATCATTTTTGGAAGAGACTATTCTTTTCCAGTGTATGTTTTGTTGGCCTTTTCACTAATCAATTGGCTGTAAATGTGTAGAATTATTACTGGAGGCTCCATTTTTGTTCCGTTGTCTATTGTTGCTTTGTACACTAGTACAGTAGTATGTTCTTAGATATGATAACCATAATGTGCTGACACTTTTTGCATTGATTTTCTCTCCTACTGTTTTTCTTTTGGTCTATTGTCTTTCTTGATGAAAAGATTTTCTTGTCAGTAGTGTATTGTCAAGTCTCTCTCTTTTTTAAAAATCCATTCAGTTTACCTGTATCTTTTAATTGGTGAATTTAATCTATTTTACATTGCAGATTAGTACTGACATGGGAAGACTTACTCCTTGCATTTCAGGTTGTTAGTTTTGATAATCTTGGAGATTTTGAGTATCCTTTGTTCTTTTTTTTTTTCTGTCTTGTCTCTGACTTTGTGGGCTGGGTGGTTTCAGTGTTGATAGGGTTTATTATTTTTCTCTTTTGTTTGTTTGCCCTTTCACTGGGCTCTAGCCATCTGTGCATTTTCAGAGTGATGGGAATTGTTCTTTTCCTATATTTCTTAGTTTCAAGTAATGCTCCAAAGCTTCCTCCGGGCATATTGGAAATCATCTCATGCACCTTCAGCTCTTGGGATTGAATGGAGGTCATTGAACATGGCTCAGTCAGGCCTGCAGGATCTCCCATGCCTCCTCTATTGGTTGAGGTAGCTCTGTGGGCTACTAACTGCTGGGAGTGATGGTCCAAATCTCTCCCAGAGCCAGTGCAAGCATGCTGGAACTCACCTCACACTCCCTCAGCTCCCTGGATTGAAAGAAGGTCACTAGCTGTGTTTCAGTCCTGCCCGTGGCACCTCCTGTGCCATCACAATGTTTCAGGTACTGCAGGGAGAATCTAAATACTGGGAGCGATGATCCAAAGCTCTCCTGAGCAAATGCAGGTGCACTGGAACTCACCTCACATGCCCTCAGTTCCCCAGATTGTAAGAAGTTTGCTAGGGGTGATCCAGTTAGGCCCGCAGGACCTCCCATGCCACCTCCGGTCTACCACATCTTTTTTATCCATTCTTCAGTCAGTGGGAATTTGGGTTGTTTCCAAGATCTAACTATTACAAATTGTGCTGCTATAAACATGCGTGCACATATATCAGTGCAGTATGATGTTTTTAAGTTTTCTGGAAAGATATCTAGAAGGAATAGCTGGATCAAATGTGACCTCTAACTCTACTTTTTTGAGGAATCTCCACCATAATTTCCACAGTGATTGCACCAGTCTACACTCCTGCCAACAATGAAGACTCCTTTTTCCCGACAGCCCCTCCAGCAATTGTCATTTGTTGATTTCTTGATGGTAGCCATTCTTTCATCAGGAACCTCAGTGTTGTTTCATTTGCATCATTCAAATGACTGGTAATGTTGAACACTTTTTCATATATTTGTTTGCTGCTTGTATTTCATCTGAGAAGTGTGTGTTCATCACAGATGACCATTTTTGAACTGGGTCTTTAACTTTGGGAGAATTGATTTTTTTTTTTTTAGTTCTTTCTATGTTCTCGATAGTAATCCTTTTTCTCAGGGACAGCTGACAAACATTTTCTCTCATGTTGTGGGTTGTCTCTTTACTCTCTTTACTCTTTCTCTTGCTGCACAAAATCTTTTTAATAAGATGAGATTCCAGTTGTTGATTCTTTGTGATAGTTCCTTTTCATTAGGGATTTTGTTCACAAAGTCTTTGCCTACACCAATGTTTTTAAGAGTTTTACCTACTCTACCTTCCAGAAGATTTATTGTTTCTATTTTAATATTTAGATCTTTGGTCAATTCAAACTCACTTTAGTGCATGATATGGGTGCAAATTTAGTGTTTGGCATGTGTACAGCCAGTTTATCTAGCACCATTTCTTTAAGAGACTGTCCTATTAGTGAATGTGTCTGGAATCTTTGTCAAGGATAAAGTGGTTTAGTGTGTCTGGAGCTGTATTGCATCTTCTAATGTCTTCCATTGGTCCTCGGGTCTTTTTTTTTTTTTTTTTTTTTTTTTTGCTAGTACCACAGTGTTTTTTATCACAGTAGCTTTATAGCATAATTTCAAATTAAGGATTGTGATGCCCCCTGTCTTATCTTTGTTGCAAAGGATTGCCTTTGCTAGTCTAGGTCTCTTCTGGTTCCAAATGAATTTTAGAATTGCTTTTTCTAGTTCTGTGAGGTAAGTTATTGGAATTTTGATTTGGAATCTGTGCAACAGTTTTGGAAGAATGGCCATTTTCACTATATTTGTTCTTCCTATTGAAGATCACAGGATATAACTTCATTTTCTAATGTTCTTCAGTCTATGGCCATAACACCCTGAACACACCTGATCTCATCTAATATATTCTTCCATCTCCTTTTTCAGAATATTGTAGTTTTCAATGTAGAGATCTTTTACATCCTTCATTAAATCAATTCCTAGGTATTTCATTTTGGGGATGTTAATGTGAAAGGTATTGTTTCCTTGATTTCTGTCTCAGTGAGTTTTTTATTCATGTATAGGAAAGTTTTTGATTTTTGAGTGTTGACTTTGTATCCAGCTAGGCAACGAAATTTTCTTATTAAATCTATTAGTTTTTAGTGGAGACTTTGGGGTCTTCTATGTAAAGTACCAACTCATCTACAAATAATGATAGTTTAAGTTCTTCTTTTCCTGTCGTTATTTCTTTCACTTCTTTCTCTTGTCTAATTGCTCTGGCTAAATTTTCCAGGGCTAAGAGGAAGAGTTCAAGCTAGTGGAGTGCTAAGCAGCAGAGAAGATAGCTTCTCTGAGAGTTACCACTCAGGCCTGGAATATAGCAATGTGAGGAAGACAAGAAGGAATGTAGTGGGTTTCCTGATCCCAGGAAGGATCTGAAGCACGAATTGAAGCTCACAGAAAGAGTAAATGGAGAAACTTCAGTGAAGAAGAAGAAGGAAGTAGCTGGCAACTCCTTATTCCTGAGAATAGACTTTCTGCTCAAGAAGAGCAGTTTCAGCTGCAGTTGTGTGGTGATGGTGACAGCTAAAAACCCCAGAGGTCTCTACAGAGAGACCTGGCAGTAGAGGGAGCAGTGGACATGGAGGGAAGCAGTGGCTTTTGGTGAGTGCAAAGGCCTCAGTCTTCCTGTAGGAGAGAGCAATTAGAGCCATCCTGGAGATGGCAGACCAAGAGCACAACTCAGATCTGTGGCTGTCTCCATCTAGTGGCCCCAGCAGGGCTCAGGCCCATGGGAGGTGCTCAGGAGGCAGTAAGCCAAATGCAACTGACTGGTCTTCATGAGAAAGTACAGGCTTACTGAAATTATTCACTACTTTGCCAGAAAGTTACTGCTGGCTTGCTGAGATATATCAGCACAGTCAGGACTCTATCTCTACAGGCTGTCTGCTAGTGAAAGCAGAGATAAACTTGGATGAAACTGGAAGTGGACTTTTTTTCTTCTCTTTCCTCTCTCTCAGATTTGTTTTTATTTTTAGTTTTTCTTTTCTTTTGTTTTCTTTCTCCTTCACGATTTGATCTTTTTATGTAAGTATAAATATGGCTTCTAGCTTCTCTGTGGTTATGGTTCTTTTCT